GTTAAGTCATACTTCTAGGCCTGGTCCTACTCAATAGCCTACTGCCGAACAGTGTTAAGTCATACTTCTAGTCCTGGTCCTACTCAATAGCCTACTGCCGAACAGTGGTAAGTCACATTTCTAGGCCTGGTCTTACTCTGTAGCCTACTGCCGGGCAGTGTTAAGTCATACTTCTAGGCCTGGTCCTACTCAAAAGCCTACTGCCGAACAGTGGTAAGTCACATTTCTAGGCCTGGTCTTACTCTGTAGCCTACTGCCTAACAATGTTAAGTCATATTTCAAGGCCTGATCCCTCTCAATAGGCTACTGCCGAACAGTGTTAAGTCATATTTCTAGGCCTTGTGCTACTCAGAAGCCTGCTTGGGGACAGTGTTAAGTCATATTTGAGGCCTGATCCCTCTCAATAGCTTGCTTCCAAGCAATGATAAGTGGTATTTCTAGGCCTAGTCCTATTCAGTAGCCTACTGCTGGGCAGTGTTAAGTGTATTTCTAGGCCTGATCTTACTCAATAGACTGCTGCCAGACAGGGAGGGGGTAAGAGGGGAGGGGGTTCATAGGGGGCCACTTATTGCAGAATCAAAAGCAATCATATTTATGAGGGGAGTGGGATGGAAATATGTACCCAAGATGGGGCTGAGGCCCCAGGGGCCTGAGGGGCAGGGCCCAATAGAATCAAACTGGCTATATGATGGAGTAAAATTCTGTACTCTTTTTGTAAAATTTGCAGATTAAAAAGCTTGAGGGGTCACTATTTTCCCTCAAGGTGGAGGTAAATTTAAGTTTATTTCTTTATTATATTATCATTTTGCTGAAACTCGCTAGCTAGATATATACATGTTAGTCAATCCTCGAGATGATTTTGTAAAAGTCAAAATTAATATACAGTCGATAAGTACATATTTATTCTTTTTCATATAGCAAAAAGTAACAATTGTATTTTGTCTCAAGTGACCATTAACTGCCTCTGGCTTGCAGAAAATGTTTGACTCCTTAAAACAATATAGCGACAAATGGCAATTGACAGTCAATATGGAAAAAACAAAAATTGTTGTATTTCATAATGGCGGAAGATTGGGAGCTGGCGATTTTTTTTACTTTAATGGCAATGAAATAGAAATTGTTGATAGATTTAATTACCTTGGTGTACTGCTCAACTTTAATGGTAAGTTTACAAAAACTCAAGTTACTATTGCTGATTAAGGTCGTAAATGTATGTATAATGCGTTAAGAATTTGTAACAATTTGTCCCTCAATGAAGAATCTAAACTTAATGTTTTTGATGTCTATGTTTCCTCCACTCTTAATTACAGTTGCGAAATATGGGGTTTCAATATTGCGGACAAAGTAGAAAAGTGCATGTTGATTTTTTAAAAAGAATTCTGAATGTAAAAAACAATACGCCATCTTTTATGGTATATTCGGAATTAGGACGTCTGCCTTTGCATATCATCAGGAAGTGTTGAGTAATCAAATATTGGTTGAAACTAATTAAATGCAACAATTGTGTTCTTAAGTCAGTTTATGAAGATATGGATGAATGTAATCACAGAAACTGTAATTGGCGTTGTCAAGTTAGAAAATTATTATTGTCTTCTGGTTTTGGTAATGTCTGGTTAACTCATTATGTTGATAATGAAAGGGTATGTTTACATTGTTTCAAGCAGCGTTTGACAGATGTTTTTATTCAAACAAGGAATGAATTTGCTGAAAGATCATCCAAATGTTATTTGTATAAATTCCTGATAGATAACTTTACGTTACAATTTTATCTAACAAAGTCTATTCCAGATGCGTATCTTAAACTTATTTCGAAATTACGACTTTCATCGCATCAGTTATATGTAGAAGAAGGTCGGTATCGTAATATTCCGAGGGCGAATAGGTTATGCCGTTATTGTAATCAAAACCAGGTAGAGGACGAGTTCCATTTTGTTCTGATTTGTCCACTCTATGTTGATATTCGTAAAAAGATCATTAAAAAGTATTACTGGAGCCGCCCATCTTCATATAAACTTGTCCAGCTGCTGGCTGTACATAACAGAAAAGAGCTGTGTAATTTTGGAAAATATCTGCAATCAAGTTGGTTAGAACGGTCTAGATTCCAACCTTAGGTTGTTGTGTTTTTTATCACACTATCATTTGAGTACTTGTTTATTTCCAGGTTAACACATATTGTTTTGTCCATCCCCTGATCACTTCATCACTGTATACAAATTGTATGCCTTTTTTTGTTTTTATAATTTACATACTCTTTGTTGAGCCGGTTATTAAGAAAATGTTGTCACCTCATCTGTTTTCCGATAGCCACAGTACACTTAGGTGAGGTAATTTTATAAGAGCTGTCCATCTTCCGATAATTTATTTATCTTGTACTTTATAATAATTTAAAGAATTATACTGTCCATTTATACATGCGATGTACAAGATTATGCTTCATTCATGTTGTTATAATTATTTAGTATTTCATATCACAGATGTATCAATTATACGTTGCTATATATGTTTATGAGACGTAAGGCTTCAGGTTGAATAAACAAGGTCCATGCAAATTCTGACTAGCCAACTGAGCTACCAGGTCAACGGCAGAACCATGGTCCAGGCATGCTGCAGATTCAAAATGAAATTAAGCAAAGCTAGTTATTCTATACATGTACAAAAAAGGCCTCTTGTTCAATAATGATTTAAAAAAATTGAATTGTAATAGACTGATTAAATGATGGAAATCTTGGGCCTAAAACTCTCATTCAGATTTTGGAGGAAACTGGACAATTCTGAGACAGTAAACAGGTTTGTTTTACGGGGAAAAGAAAAGGATCGGCAATTCGTAATTGAAAATGTATACATGTCTGTCATAGAATTACAAAGAGAATGCAGAATGGGTAAACTGTTTGAAATTGTATTAAGAGAAATCTGTTTGTACATTGTAATCAGAAATGGTAAGAAAGAAAGAAAGGTGATTTACTGCGTTGTAAATCAAGATTTATTGGAAATTTGAAATTATATTGAGGATCTTTACCGAGTATTGATCAATCACCGTAAAATTGTTGGAAAATCTTGACATTGGCTACTTTTCATGTGCTGATAGCTGTCACACACACATCATGGAATCTGTGCTACAATTACCAGGTCTTCATGAGACCGGCTGGAACTCAGGCAATTAGTGCTGAATGGTCAATGGTGTCGACCTGTATGAACCTACAGTAATTAGGGTTTAATTCAGCTACACGTTTATAAAGCCTGGTTAGCTTAGTGCCGTTGTTTAGTCAGATTTTACCTAGACATGTTTTCCTGGTCGTGATTTAAAATTACATTTGGGTGTTTTAACTATAGATCACCATGAGACATACATCTGTAAAAGACTGGTATTTTAGGAAATAGAAATAGAAAAAACACATTGGAGAATGTTTCTTACAAAGCTTGGTTCACTTGGGTTCTGTAGAATTGATTACCCAGTCACCTCGTTCAGTCAAAATAAAGGTTTAGAGTTGGCCACAATAAAGTTGGATGTATTACGGCATAAGTAGTGAAGATCAATGTTCATTGAATGAAGGTTTAAACTAAACCATAGAATAATGCTTAAGGTCTATGGGAATTATCATAATAATACTTAAGGTATGGAAGCTATCATAATAATGTTTAAGGTATGGAAATTATCATAAGAAGGGATAGAATAATTTGTAAAAAAAATATTCAAATCATGTGTAATTGAAATAGAGTTAGGATTAGTTAGCTCATTTACCCCTGAGGACACATTTGAACTCTTCCAATTCAAAGGTTGGAATAGTTCATTATGAAATTTCAGGGGTGAATGAGTTAACTGAGTTTGTGGAGTTAGTTGAATAGTGTACATATAAATGGTCCTATATGCTCTAAGCACTGTTAGCTTTAATAAAAAAATCAGTTGGCATAATTTCCATCCTTACTGAAATGATTTAACAGACATACTCGAGTGTGAATCAAAAATAAACACAAACTTCATAAAATATATATACTAACTACTTTATATGAAAGACCAAAATAGGGCATTGGAAAATGTTTGACTTTGCAATTTTAAGCTTACATCTTTGTTTTCTTTTCCGATGCTTGAAACTTAAAGATTTCTTTGAGCAAACATGAGTTGAATAATTTCAGTTGTCTGAAATTGAAAAACACAAAAAAAGTAAAAAACAAAAATTCAATGTGTGTCATGCTGAGTAACAATTGAATGTACTCAATTCTGTGTGAAGCAAGTTTTCACTCAAACCAAATCATTTTTAGAATTCCCAGCGGTGTTGATGTCAGTGTTGTGTTACATTGTGATTGCATTGTTTAAGTTTGTTTTCTTGATTGAATTTTAGATTCCATTTTATAGTTTATTAAAACAAATTATATATGTTTGAGAGGATTTAGCAATCATCTAAAAAAAATCAAAAAAATCTGAAAACGTTTCAATAATGAAGGAAAAATATTTAAGTAAATGAGAAAGAATAAGTATTTGCGTTAAGGCAAACATTGTTTACCTTTTAAAATACCTGATTCTTCATTAAAATTAATACATTTAGATAATATTGCAAATGAATAACTTTCAGAAGTGGAAAGCCTTAATCATTCAAATACTTAATATATAATTGTATAACACCGGAAAAAAAAATCATTCAATATTTTTGTCATTTTCAAATTAAATCATATTCCACTGAGATTTGTTTTTTGGAATGACTATGTTTGGTAAAAAAAATGACTTATTTCAAGTACTTTCCGTACGTATTTAATAAAAAAAAAAAGACTTGTTCAATCCTGAATGATGTTTTAATTGAGATAACAATACATTCAAAACCTGGGTTGTTAGATGACATAGAGATGAAACAGATTGAACAGGGAATATTTGTTCTGACATTAGTGGATTGAATGAAAAAAATTAATAACACAATCTGTTATAATGTAATCTGTAAAGAATTTTAATAGATTTCTTTTATGTCAAACAATGGTTTAGTGTCATTGAAGATTTGATGATTTCGTTTCAGAATCTGCGAGAACACCTGATTACAGAATTTACGGAAGAAAGAGTAATGGATTCCCTGTGATCTGTAGATACGAACTGGTGGAAAGAGTGATGGATCTCTAGGGGATGAGTTCTATTAACACGTTAATGTTTGATAAATAGACAAGGCATTAAGCAAGCCTGGCAATGAATGAGACGAAGTAGGTATGTGACTTACACATGAACAGACGCATCAACAAATATCCCAGTGATTCAGGGCCACTACTGATGCGATAGCAGTGAAATGTCTGCTTTGGGAAATACAGCCATGATAAACGTGCCAAAGTGGATTTTTATTAAACCAGAAAAAAAATCAGATTCTTTTCAGGAAATATTTGTGATCAGCAAGTAATCTTTTCTGGGTGAATAGACATGTCAAGTTGAAATTGAAATCCCAGGTGAAATTCTATAAAGTGGAAGTTTGTGAAGATATACACATTTTAGAGGAAATATAAATTATGACATTTTCAGTGGAAAATGTTGAAGTTATTTTAAATTAAATAAGAGTGCAATTCTCGTAACACTCATTTGAGAAGAAATACCTGGTATTTTGTGAGATAACTTTCAGTGGAAACTTTTCAAGTAAATCAAAATGAGGAAAATGTTGAGGATATTTCTGTGTATTTTAGTGTGTTCCTCTTGTGTTGTGAGTACATTGGCTACAGCCAGTGTTCATATTCCGTCCTTGGATCACCATGGAAATGAGGTCACAGGTCAAAATGATTCTAGCTACCCTGACAACAGTAGCGATGTGACAGGGGATCACCATGACGACAAACACTCCCATGGTATACATGTGGCCAGCATACATTTTGAATATGTAGAACAGCCACTTACCATTGCTGTCTTTCTGCTGATTGCTGGAATTTCTAAATTGGGTAAGTTATTCCTATGCAATAGTCTTTGATGTTGATATTTACAATAAATGAAATTATTTGTCACAAGCCAGAGGTTTTTCAAGGGGTTTAGGGAAACGAACCCAGGTGGCATAGTATGGAATTGGGTAGCCATGAATAACTGAGAGGCCAAGGGTGATATTTGGCCAGTAACATGCTTGGATGAAGGGCTACCAAGTTTGTTCAAATAAATGACCTTGATTTATATTCAAGGTCACTGGGGTCAAATATGTTTAAAACCTTTAAACGACTTCTTCTGAATAACCGAGAGGCCTAGGGTGATGATATCTGGCCAGTAACATGCTGGAATGAAGGACTAAGTTTGTTAAAATAAAAGACCTGGATTTATGTTCAAGGTCACTGGGGTCAAATATGTTTAAAACCTTTAAACGACTTGTTCTTAATTACTGAGAGGCCTAGGATGATGATATTTGGCCAGTTACATGCTCAAATGAAGGGCGACCAAGTTTGTTCAAATAAATGACCTTGATTTATATTCAAGGTCACTGGGGTCAAATATGTTTAAAACCTTTAAACGACTTCTTCTGAGTAACCGAGAGGCTGGGATAAAGGGCTACCAAGTTTGTTCAAACGAATGACCTTTGCCCATTTTTTCTGAATACTTTAAACTTGAAGTCAAGACGCTGATATTTTGCCTGTAGCTTTATTTTAATCCTTTTTTAAGGTTGCAATTGTGAGATTAATACAAGGTGAGCGATGCAGGCCCATTGGGCCTCTTGTTTGTTAAGATTTCCAAATTGGAAATTTCAAAAGGCAAATTGGGAAAAATCACACTCTGTTTTGATTGGTAATGGATCCTTTAAATGGACCAAAATTGCTTCCTGATAAACCCCTACAAGCAGACCTTGAAAGGTTTGATTCAGTTCATAGAATGTCTGCCTCTTGTGCAGAGGTGTTGGGTTTGAATCTTCAGATTTTTTTACCATTCTATTACCATAGCAAAGAATCTGAGCGATGCTTGGCAAGGGTATACAAACACCTGAGGTACATAATGTACTGTCTTCTGTGGCAAACATTATGATGAAACAGAATGTGTAAGAGGTCTGGACCAAGAATCAAAGGTGATATATAGCTCTGTTGGGAGTGAATCAACAACACACTCTGGTCCAGTGTTGTAATATACTAAGTTTGGCGATAACATCATTCCCACCCAGTAACAGAGATAAGGGCAGCCACTGTTGTATATGAGGAGGGGTATGTTAATCCTCCTCATCAAAACGTATATATCCGTATCTACAACAAGTGCCAGCGCGTAAATTGACTCCACTGGTTAGTAGTGTATAATGTTGTAAAAGAAATTATGTGCAGGATGCCTTTTTAGTTGTTAACAAGTCAGTATGGTGCACAAACAAGCACAGAAACAATTGGAGAACTATATCAAGTGGAATCTACTGTAATTGGAAATTAACCCGTACATGTGTATTAGAATTTGTCAAAGTGTATTTTGTGTTATTGAACGATTAGTTAGCACACCTGGTCAAAAGGACCAAGGTAAACTTATACTGCACCACGGCGTCAATTGTCCCTTTCTCTGCTGACAATTTCTTCAAGCAACCTATGAACTGTTGAAAAAGTAATTAACCAAAGCTGACTTAAAACAATTCAAAAGTTTACGAATGGAGTGGTGAGGGTCGAATGGGCCAGAAATGAAATGGTAGTCTTGGGTGGTGGGCTAAACATCTATCCCCCCTCGCTGGGGGCGGGGGCGGGGGCGGGGGCTGAGGGTCAGTATCATAAATTGTAATTTGACCATGTTGCTGCTACAGAGAAACTATGATATGGGTATGATCAGTTACATTTGGTTGGAAGCAATCTCAACTGATGCAGATCCAAAAATGTACAAATGAAGGGGCTATTACCTATGGGGTTTAAGGGCCAGGGTTAAAAAGACGGTAGCGAGGCCATGATGCTTTAAGTGACTTTCGGAGGGGGTCGGTCCAAACATTGGTCTTACCTTAGAAATGGATTAGATCCCAACCCTATATATAAAATTGCTTGGCATGTAGAGATAAATACATATCCTTTCAGGATTAAAATTGACCTCTTCAGGTCTACCTCGCCATTTGTTCCTTGGGTAATAACACGGAAGTAGTCAAGGTCCCTATTCTTTAAGTGTATAAACAACTGCTGGGTATCATAGATCATTGAGACAGATACACTTGTGATTACCCCTGTGGACTTAGTCCTGTGATCACTACATGGAAACCATTTAGATAATCATCATTTTACCAAGTGCTTGCAGAGCATGAAGAGAAAAACACTGTCATGCTATCAGGATGAGTCGAGGGTCTTGGTTTCCCCCCTGGAGACTTTTTTTCCTTTACAATGCATATCAGTGGGGGCTGAGATGATAAACGCAACATAATAATTTTCCTATTTGTCCCTTGATTGAATCATATAGCTGTTGTTTTGTGTGTAAAAGGGGTCACTTTTTCAGTAAAAATCCTAGCTTTAGCAACCTAACATCTTAGAATTGAGAAAAGTCTCTAGCAATGTGTATAGTCAATGAGAAATCTCAAAGCTGAGGACAATAAAAAGCAGTGCTATTTGAGTCTATTTCCTATTATCCCACAGTTGACGAAAACTGTGAGAAATATGAGGAAATTGAGGAAAACGCCAGGCTTGAGATGTTTGAAAATATGGTCCCCAGTCTAGACTTGCTGTTAAAATATCACTTACATTTGTGTGATTATAATACATATATGTACAATATGTTAGCTTACACTTGGCACCTTTGACCAGTGTTAGAGTTATTTCCCTTGAATATTATTTATTACTAATATTTACATTTCTTGTCAATGTAAGGTCTTGATCACCTTCTGACAATGCAATTACCTGATTTTCTCCCACAACCACTATAGGTTTACTTGGTACTCCCAAATGGTTTGATAAACCTGCTAGGAGTTGGTAAACATTTTTGGTTACCCACTAGTGGACATTATAATACTTTGGTCAATGTTTTAATTAATAGGATGTAATGTAACAATGCTTTGTGATGTCACCTTCGACTGTGATAAAACAGGAATTCCAAGGGTAACATAATACTTTTTCTAGTATGATAGGAACATGGTCCCCGATCTCTTGATGGCCAGTAATCATGTGTATCTTATTTTCACTAGTTAAATTTTGAATGGTAGAAGACACTCTGTAAATCTTTAAACAATTTGAAAATTACCTAACTCGAGTTTGAGTTAGATAAACAAGATAATCAGCCAAAACATGTTGGGGCATCCTCAATACTTAAGGGGTTATGCTCACCCTTCCTCCCTGCATTCCTCAAATATGTTGTAGTAAAAATGAAGGCATGAAGCTAGGTATTTGATTGGTCTTGGGTAAAAAAGAAACTGACCAACTGCGAGACTGGGTCTCGGGTAAAAAAGAGACTGACCAACTGCGAGACATGGTCTCAGGTAAAAAAGAAACTGACCAACTGCGAGACTGGGTCTCGGGTAAAAAAGAAACTGACCAACTGCGAGACTGGGTCTGGGGTAAAAAAGAAACTGACCAACTGTGAGACTGGGTCTCGGGTAAAAAAGAAAATGACCAACTGCGAGACTGGGTCTCGGGTAAAAAAGAAACTGACCAACTGCGAGACATGGTCTCAGGTAAAAAAGAAACTGACCAACTGCGAGACTGGGTCTCGGTTAAAAAAGAAACCGACCAACTGCGAGACTGGGTCTCAGGTAAAAAGGAAACTGATTATCTGCGAGGCTGATACTTGTCCATTGAAGATTACAGAGGAGCGACACCTGACTTCTAAGCCAGTCTATTATACCATGACCCAACCGAGATTTCTTTTATGTACATCAAAGGACCAAACTAGTCTTCTTGTCTCATCCACATGGTGGTGCACACTTAGCCTTCAATTTTGTTGTGAAATATTCCAGGGGTGTAGAGCACGACAGTGAGAATTAACTCTGGAGTAATTATTATCAAGGACAGAGTTGGGGAACCTCTATAATTTAACGTTCATAAAAGGCATTTTACAGGATTCCTGTAACTGTTCTTAAAATGAGATACATAAATCACGATGTGTTAGAAAAATGTAAAACCTCCAAGATACATGAACACTGACTGATATTTGTTCGCTCATAACATTTATAACATTTTAACTACAGTGGGTGCAAGTTTAATATTTTGTATTTAACCACATCCTTAGATGGTTTAACCTCGGTTGATCTATCTATGTACAAAATATTTGGCTGAAGATTGGTTGATACTTCATCTAATAAACCACTTAATTAAGTTCACAAATGTATTCAAAGCACATTGTATATGTATTCCTAATTAGTGCTGATTAATTAGGAATTGTAAATAAGAAAGGAAGAGAGTTTCAATAAGTAAAATATTTTAAAATATGGAAAGGAGTCTTGTTCTTTCAACAGAAAATCCAAAGTTTCCTGTACTTTAGCAGTAATGAAGAGCCCTAGGTTTGATCGTTCTATGACGGTATAAAATCAATTTACAGGCTAGGAATGATATTAATGGCTAGGTGCTGCCACAATCAAGTATGATAGAATTTGTAAAGAAGAGATATTTATAAAAAAAAACTGAATACAGGCTGGTGAACAATTTTTTGAGTTATATTGCATTCAGCTGTGAGCATGCTCATTGTTCTTGCCAACTCTTCCTATTTTGGAGGGAGACTCCTGTTTTTTGACCCTCAAATTGAGCATTTTCAACCAGTGACATTGCTAAGCTTTTCCTATTTTCTAAGATCTGCTGATTTGATCTGAAAGAAAAAGCTCAAAAGATGCCATTTAATACTGTTATTTTTTCCCTATGGTGTACATTCACATTTTATGAATGCTTTTTATTCTCAGCATAATCACCCCAATGTAAATTTGAAAATCTTGGCAAGTATGCTTCTACATCTCGGCAACACAGATGTATAGACTTCCTCCCTCTGCCACTATTTAACTGTTGTCAAGGGCTATTTTATTTTACCAATTTACACATTG